AGTCCTGTACTTCGAAGCGCTCAGAACGCGCGCAGGTTCATTCGCCGGTCACAATGGCGAGCCCGACAAGACGCGAGCCCGACAAGACGCTTAACTTTCTTTTCGTTTTTTTCTTTTGTGTGTGTGTGTGTGTGTGTGTGTTACCCCCACAAGTGACAGCACGGTGACAAATATTGATTTATTTTCATGGCGACACCATGTTTGTAATGTCGAACCTGCATGTTACAATAAATGTTGCGTTATCAGACAATTACTGACAAACTTCTGGGAGGTAACGAAAGTGAAAGTAGATCTTGATTTTTCAGTCGAGCCTCGGTGACACAATTCCGCTTGCCGCCAGTACTCTCAGAACCGAATTAATATCACAATCGCGACCGGCAGAAATGAACTTAAAGACGTTATTGGATTTGGTTTTCAATATCTTTTATGTATTTTCCCTGGTCTCGGCCATTTTTTTTAAATTCCCGGGGCCTGGCAGTCATCCTGCTCCCAACAACTCTCTTTCTGATTGGCCCGCTGTCGCGGTAGCGGAGTTTAGCGGAGGAAATCGCGGTAGCGGAAACCCGCTAAATAGCGGACTATTGAGACCCATGAAGTGTCTATACACTCCCCACCCCCCCCACCAATAAGTAACGAAATACATGAACTTAAGTTGACCCCGTCAACGGACGGTCCCCGACATGCAAAACTCACACGGCGATGTCGTGTCACGTGACGCGAATGCGCGATTGAAACAATTTTACTAACGGGTCCGACTAACTGCGCGTTCACACAAAACACTCGGATGAACGACAGTCGTTCTACTTCTAGGATAACGACGGCGGCCAACCGACCAAATATACCAACAAATCTCTGTATGTATGTATGGTATAAGGTTTTACGGCGCTCGCAACTGCTAAGGTCATATGAGCGCGCGAAACACAAGTTGTTCACCTCTGCGCAAGTTCACTTCACGACTGGCTAACTAATTTACTTTAAAATGCTAAAAAGTTAAAATATTCAAATTTGGTGTAAATACATTTGTGATCTAAAGCAACTTTTAAGTAACAATAAAATTTTTTAATAATATCAAATTCACTCTACAACTCGCCATAAAGGCCAATGGCCTTTACAAAATTTAAAATTCTGATGGGAACAACGACGGAGAAAATATCCTGCAATTTCTTGCATTTATAATATTTCCTTCGGATCTCTCCAAAGTCTAGACATTCTGTTAAAATGTGTCTAATGGTAAAATCTGTGTCGCATCCGACACAGAGCGGCTTCTCCTCTCCCTGTAGGAGGTATTTGTGGGTCAGGGCCGTGTGTCCGATGCGCAATCGAGTAAAAATGACTTCGTCTCTTCTGGAGAGATCCGAAGGTTTTCACTGTTCTAGTTTGGGTTTAATTTCATATAATTTATTATTTTTCTGGTTTTCCCAGTGGCTCTCCCACAGACTGGAGGTGTACTTTTGACTTTATTTCTAAAGTCAGTCTGTGGGAGAGTGTTTGTCGTTGATCCCAGCAGAAGGGATGAAGCTTTCTTCGCCAGGTCGTCTACCTGCTCGTTTCCTCGGATGCCCACATGGCTGGGTATCCATGCGAACATGATGTTTTTTCCTGTTTCGGATAGTGTATGGATTTTCTGTTGTAGCCTAACTATTTTTGGGTGTAAGAGTGTGTAGTTTGTGAGTGAGGTGATGCAAGACAGAGAGTCAGAAAGGATAAGGAAAGATTTGTTAGGAGAATTTTCTACAGAGTCCAGTGCCATGTCAATGGCAGTGGCCTCCGCAGTGAAAATGGAGGCTTCAGGATGGAGTCTCCTCTGGTGTGTATTGTTGGGAGATAGGGCTGCGGCGCCCACTTCATTGTCTTTTTTGGAGCCATCCGTGAAGATGAGCTCCGCACCGGGGTATTTATCTATTAGTTTTTTGTATTCTGCTTGAAAAGTTTTGGTGTTTGTGCTTTCTTTGTTGTGTGTGGTCAGCTGTAAATCTACTTTTGCCTTGGTGAGGTGCCACGGAGGGAGGTCGGGGAAAAGAATTTGTTGGATGTCTTGTTTGGAAAAGTGTAAGTTTTTGATGTCCTCAAGGATTTTGAGGCCGAAAGGTTTGATGAGTTTTTCGTTGTTTTTGGAATTTCTTTCTGGTTTCTGGATTTGTTTGAAAAATGCTGTTGTGTGCTGGATTTTCCGGTGTTGAGCTCTGTTTAACTGCGTATCGTATCTCTTATCCCTCTTGAGTTCAGACTAAAGCAACGACAACGGCCATATGTTAGTCTTGTCAGTGCAGTTACATGTAGCTTTGTAAGGGTTAGAACAACTGTCGCTCGTCCAAGTGTTTGGTGTGAACGTTACCAGACCTCGGACAAGGCTTGTTTTGAAAGTAACAGCGGAACTACGAATATCATCGATTATTAAATGTCCCAAATTGTAACAGTTACCAGGCTATCATCGGAGAATTCTGAGAGCGGGCAAAGATCACACACAACTTGGGGAGAGTCAACTACTAAATGCAGCATCGATATTTCGGGAAATAGTGCTCCGAGTTCCTACTGACAAAAAGTTCAACGGGTGCTTCGCGCGATAAAGGAGAGGGCAAAGTAAGTTTTTAGAAAGATCCGGCACAACAGCAGACTGGGACAAAAAAATCAGGATACACGCGATCAAAATCGGGAAAATCGGGAGGATTGACATTTGGGGCAAAAAATCAGGATATCCCGACTAAATCGGGATGAGTGGCAGGTCTGTATAACCAAAGAACTATTATGTCAGACATTGTCAAGCAGTGGGGCAGAAGCAGTGAATGATATAACCAAAGAATTATTATCTTAATAAGGTCAGACATTGTCAAGCACTGCTGTGAAAGCAGTGAATGAAAAAACTATTGTCTTAAAGCCATCAAAGACCTTCAGATACAAGAATGAAAGTATTGAAAGGACCATTATTGGGTCCGTACGGTACAAGTGTCCTTTGTGTTATTGTAAAGCTTACTGAAAACTTTCAGAGCAGTTACAAGCTAAATAAATGACATCTTTTAGTATTACTTATTATCTTATTATAAGGTTGCCAATGCAATAATGAAAGAACTGTTAAGTTAATGTCATTAGACACAAACAAGTGCCGGGGTGAAAGCTACAAATGAAGCAACAAACAACTATTACGTTGACAGTGAAAGATCTTGTCAGTTTGATAGTGTTTGCACTGTATGCTTCCTCGGAAGCTGAGAATGTTTCTGAGTGTTCTCAGAGGGTCTGCTGGGGTAATAATAGTTGTAAAGCGAATAGAGCATGCTCTTGAGCATGGATATGCGCTATATAAATGCAATTATTATAATTATTATAATATTATTAATATGGTCGATAAAGACGGGTAGTTTGCTCCTTTTCTATTAACCATCTATCATCCTTATCTCTCTTCCTCCTTTTTTTTTCTACGTTACTCTCCAGTAACACCTCTAATCTTTGGCACATGACCTGTTTGTGCTGCAAATGTCCAAAAAATCTTACTAAAACAAAACAAGATTATCATGCAGACCTGCCAATTACTCCTTTTTAAAACCTGTCATAAAACCCCTGTGGGAGTTGCATACAATCCTTTCATTTTCTTGAATTCCGTGTCTGTCTGTCAGTCCAAAACCACAAAACTCTGCCAGCTTACTTAGTTTTCGTAAGAGTTTTACAGCACTTGCAACACAATAAGCTCATATAGTGCCAAAGATTAGAAGTGTTACAAGAGAGTAACAAACACACACAAAAAAAGGAGGAAAGATGAAGGCGATAGATGTTTGATAGGAAAGACGGAGCAAACCACACCAGAGCACCCGCCAACCACCCGCGTACCTTGACGAGTAGCGCCAAGAGCAGCACCAGAGGACGGAGGTTTGAACAGCCCAGCGGTGGTCGCAGCAGCCGTCAAGGCAGACGGGCCCAGGGACATCCCCCTGTCTGCTCCTGCCGGGCCCACCGCACCGGGGAAAACAACCGACCCTGAAACTGTAGGGGGCACATTTCGCTGTTAGTTGCAGAAAAGAGTTTAGTTTAGACAGATGTTTAGTTTAGATTTAGTGAGAGTTTTATAGCACTTGCAACACAATAAGGTCATATAAGTGCCAAAGATTAGAGGTGTTACAAGAGAGTAACAAACACAAAAAAGGAAGGAGGAGAGATCAGGATGATAGATGTTTGTTTGTTTTAGTAAAGTTTTACGGCGCTCGCAACTGCATAAGGTCATACGGGCGCCAAGGGGTGGATGTCAACAAAGAAGTCCAAATGGAAAATCAGGCTTACTCTGCTCACCTCTCTAGCCTCAACAGCACAAAGTCTGCTTCGACTATCTAAGTACCCTGGAAATAGCAGTTCACAAGAAAGTGACAAACTTGCAAAAGAAGTAGAGGAAAAAAAAAACGCTAGTAAGGATGAGGAAAGAAAAAGCAGCAGTTCCCCCCATGTTGTACCGGCACAGTATGAGCATGACATTTGATAAATCAGCCCATTTACAATTCTATTGTGCATAAGAACAATGTAAATATCCTCCCTTTGGAATGGCCTAAACACAACTTCAGTCAGTAGCACTGCCTTGGTTGGGGGGGGGGAGTTTAAGAAAAAGAGAAACAGATTGACACAATAACCGACACTGGGAGCAGAGAAATAGTGAGACGGACAGGCAGAGAGAACAGAGGGAGAGAGAACAGCACTCGCAACACAATCAGGTCATATAAGTACTGAAGATAAGGTGTTACACGTAAGTAACAAACAGAAAAGACGAAGGAGAGATAAGGGCGATAAATGTTTGATAGAAAAGAAGGAGGAGATAAGGACGATAGATGTTTGATAGAAAAGAAGGAGGAGAGATAAGGGCGATAGATGTTTGACAGAAAAGAAGGAGGAGATAAGGACGATAGATGTTTGATAGAAAAGAAGGAGGAGAGATAAGGGCAATAGATGTTTGATAGAAAAGAAGGAGGAGAGATAAGGACGATAGATGTTTGATAGAAAAGGAGTAAACCACACGAGAGCAAAGTGCCAACGTCCCACTTTCAAACCCTGTGGAAACGCGTGTGCAGAGACAAAAAAATTACAGACCATGTTGTGTAATGTTACATGAACGAAAGTGTAAGCAGGAATATATTACAACAGTCAAGAAAACAATTACACACAAAGTTCCAAACAACTGAAATCAAGACTAAATCCAGACAATCAGAAATCAGGATTTCCAGATTGTAGTTTTCTTACATGTTTTACTGCACATGCAACACAAAAAGGTCATATAAATGCTGAAGATTTGAGGTGTTACAAGAGAGTAACAAATACACACACACACAAAAAAGGACAGATAAGGACAATTGATGTTTGATAGGAAAAAAGCCCCCCCCCCCCCCCCAAATAGACCCACCTCTTCGTGGTTGGGGGAGGGATTAGTACTCTTCGAATACGGAAAGAAAAAGAGGAAGCTAACGGGTCAAGGGGTGACCCCGAAAAGAGACATATTACTTTACTATGTTTCTTACTCTTTCTATTTATTGTTTTTATTGTTTTACTTTATTACATTTATTTAACTTTTCTCCTCTCTCCATCTACAACTTTTCTTTGACCTGGAGTTGGGGCGGGTATTCGTGGGGTGGAAAGCAGAGGATCATTGTCAGCACTCTACTGGATGTGACTTTACGTAGGGAATACCCAGCTACATACATGTATTAAGCATGCACTTATCGGAGAGCCCTACTATGACTGCGGAGAAGGTGCAGAGACCATCTGCGTCTTGCTTGTGGACAACATTATCCCTCTGGGATCTGCCATGCCTTCCCCTGCCCCCATCTCTTGGATGAGAGGACTTGGTTGCTCTGGGAGGGGGGGGGGGAAATCTAGCTTCCAATTGGTATTATTAGTAATATTATTATTATTATTATTATATTATAATTTTTGTATTTCAGCAAACACACAGCAACTATGCTCTTAATAGTGTCTTTCTCTTCTTTATCTCCTAAAAAAAACTTCTCACTATAATACAACAGACACCAACATACCCATTCATTTTTCTTACAATCTCTCTGTGACGGAGTTGGGTTTTTGTTTGTGGCATTGCACCTACAGCCACTGCTTTATCTCCTACCCCGGGATGGAAGGAAAATCACAGAACCACCAGTTTTAGATAGGAAAGAAGAAGCAAACCACACCAGAGCACCCGCCAACCAGCCACTTTCCAGACTTATTCAGAAAACCTGGCGCCTGTGGTTCCCTACCTCTCCCCATCCCAACCAAGCCCGCCTCGTCCTCATCCTCATCCTCGTCCTCATAACCGTTGTCCTCTTCATCGTAGTCGTCCTCATCCTCATCATTGGTCTCGTCCGTCTCCGTGGGAGTGATGTCCTCATACTCGGTGGGAGGCAGGAGCTGGCGGGACAGGCTGCCCACGCCCACGACGGCGGGCACAGACAAGGGGGCCGAGCTCATCCCGACGGCGGGCACAGACACTGGAGCCGAGCTCATCCCGACGGCGGGCACAGACACTGGAGCCGAGCTCATCCCCACAGCGGGGTCCACCGGCTGGAAATAACAAGACCATTCACGCTGAATAAACGCACACTGTAAACATTCTTTTTAATTTAAAAAAAACCAAAGACGGAGGTCCCTCCCAGTCGCAACTTAATCCTTCGAATTATAATGTGATCCTTCTCATGACCCAGATTTGAGAGGAAAACCTTCGTGATCAGTTTGGACCTTTCCAATTTAGAAAAATGAAAGTTGCAAACTAAGAGGGACCACCGATATATTAACTCAATATAATGACAATAATTTGTAATTTATAAATATAGCACAATAACAATACAAGTAAGTGATGAAGATTAGTAGAACAGCTCTGAAGACAGAAGACGAAGCTTACTTCCAACACAAAAGATCATGTAAATGCCAAAGATTTGAGGTGATTTACGCACTCGCAACTGCATAAGGTCATGAGGGGGCGGTACACAAACAGTTTCAGTTGGTAGGAAATTTTGAATTCTTCCCACGTGGCGGCTGAAGCCTACTCTTATCGATTTTGGACCACAAAGGGATCTTTACCGAGCACAACTTGCATACGGGACCTCCGAGATTTTTTGCCCTTGTCCGAGAAGGCTAGGTGTAGATCTTTCCTACCAGAAGATCAGGGGTGTGGCTTAAAGACAGCAGTAAGAAAGGGCAGAAAGTGGAGACGAAAGCAGGCGACACAATATTGCTAGAGAGCAGGAAAGAAGGAGAAAGGAAACAATTTTAGAGGTTAAAAAAATTTCCATCGCTATCTGGATTCAAACACAGGACCAATTGAAAGAGAGGCGAACACCTTAACCTCTAAGCCACGAGAGCTCCCCCCAGCCCCCCCCCCCAACTGCAAAACAGTATCACTAATCACAACAAAAACTAACTCACCCCACTAGCGACCGATGGCCCGTGGGCGGCAAACCGGTGTAGTCCGGGCTGCTGTTGCTGCTGTGGCTGTGGCTGGTGTTTGAAGAAAGCCGTGCCGGAGAAGGCGGTCGGGGCGGGAGGAGGAGGCCCCTGCTGATGCTGCTGTCTGGGACTGTCTACACTTGCCGCAGACGCCGCTAGGGGCGACGACTTGACCGGGGTCTGACCTTGACCTAGGACCTGTGTGACAGGAGCTGGAGATTGCTGCAACTGATCCATCAGGGGCAGGCCTGGAAATGTGACACAGTTGGCAAGATTTAGGAGGAGGTGCAGCATCTAACCTGCCTGTCAGTTCATGTTTAGTAGAGTTTTACAGCACTTGCAACACAAATCAAGCCATATACGTGCTGACGATTAGAGGTGTTACTGGAGTGTAACATACAAACAAAAAGAAAGAGGAGAGACGAGGATGATAGACAAGAAGGAGAGATGAGGATGATAGACAAGGGGGAGGAGAGATAAGAATAATAGACAAGGAGGAGGAGAGATTAGAATGTTAGACAAGAAAGAGGAGAGATCAGGAGATAGACAAGAGGGAGGAGAGATGAGGATGATAGACAAGAGAGATCAGGAGATAGACAAGAAGGAGGAGAGTCAGGACGATAGACAACAAGGAGGAGAGATCAGAATGATAGGCGTTTGATAGGAAACAACGAGCAAACTACACTGCATTTCAGTGGATCACAGATCGCCTCTGAAGCGGGGTTTTGCGGGTACCAATTTCATGAGCTCAAACATGTGCATCTGGTCCTGTGCTACATGTATTACCCATTTTCACCCATATTGTGGTTCTCTGTCCAATCAAGGAAGGAAAAGAAATCAAATGAGGTAGTACTAGATGAAGCCCACCTGGGACACTCACTGTTAAAAACAATCAGAAAACGACAAATGCAGTTTTTGGGACACCTGAATAGATATACAGGCCTTGAACATCTAGCTCTCACCTGTTTTAGTATAGTATGGGGTTTTACGGCGCTCGCAACTGCATAAGGTCATATGAGCGCGCAAACAAGTTTTTTTTTTTTCTCAACAGTTTATTTCTTGGTCTGGTACCAGTCAATATTGCTATTAAAAATCGAGTGTAAATAGATTTTAGATTTAAATTTAAAACAACTTTTTAAATGACAATTAAAAATTCATAACTTTCCATAAAGGCCAACGGCTTTCCTAAAATCCAAAATTTTGATAGGATCAACGAGGGAAAAAATGTCTTGCTCTCACCTGAAAAATTGAAAGCAAACGAGGCAAGGGTAGGCCCAGAGCAAACTACATAGCCTAAAAAAATGGGTATCGGGGAAAGATCAGGGGAACGTCGCTTTTTTAAGAGCATCCGAGCAAATGAATGAATGGAGAACCGTGATCGCCATGTCTGCCGCAGATCTGGCACTGGATGAATGAATAGCTGTTTAAAGGAATCCCTCATGTGCTGACAGAGGAAAGAGTTAAACTTTATTTCTAAGAGGTTACGTGGTAACTTCCCCACCTTTCTGGACCCGCAGCGGTCTGTCCGGGAAGCCTTTAGGGGTCATCATCGGTGGTAGAGAGGGCAGCGGTGTGTGGGCAGCTGGCCCGGCAGACTGGGATCCCTGGGTCGGCTGTGGGGAGAGAGCTGACAGGTTGGCAGCGGGGGTCTGAGAGACGATTCTTGATTTGGACAAGTTGGCTGGGGAGGGAACAGACACAAGTTATGTTTTTTTAGTTTTAGTTAAGAGTTTTACGGCACTTACAACACAATAAGGTCATATAGGTGCCGAAGATTAGAGGTGCTACAAGAGAGTAACATACACCAAAAAGGAGGAGAAATCAGGCCGATAATGTTTGATAGGAAAGAAGGAGCAAACCACACCAGAGCACCCGCCAACCACCCACAGACACACAAAGTTATGACTGCAGCTACCTAAACAGGATCCGCAAGGACACCCCACCCGACTGCCCGTTGTGTGACTGTCAGGATGAAACAGTATCACACCACCTCTTTGCTTGCCCTGACTTAGGCCGGTCGCAGAGTGGCTCTGTAGGTCTGACCTGTAGCTCGCCTGGCTCGCACTGTGCAAATGAATGTATACATTATCGTGTGCTAAAGCAGCGTAGCTGTATCGTCTGTTTTTTGTCAGCAGAGCTGCGCGATGCGTCAGACGTGCTATTCAACAGTGTTGTAAAAATGGCGGACATGTGTCGCCTCGCTTCGTGTTTATTTTCAACTCTGAAACTCTTCACAGATCATCAAAATGAAGAAGTAAGTATTATTAGGTGCTTTACTATTAAATATTGATGCTAGCATCAACAATTGGCCACAAAATCACCCAGAAATGCACTTTATCATACTTTGAAACTTCAAATCGAGAGGTTGACTGTTGTCGTAGGTCTAGGCCTAGATCTAGGAGTGCTTCTCTAGATTCTATATCTTGGATTGTAACCAATGTAAATTATCGCTGCGCCCAGCTGCAAGTGTGTTTGAGTGTGTGTGTGTGTGGGGGGGCTGCACTTGGCACATGACGTAAAGAAGATTTGTCCCGTCTTGGTATAATTGGTCTTGGATTGCACAGTACCTAAATAAAGCAAGGCAGACCCGTCAGTTGCACACCTACACACGTCAACACACCGTACGGCTGTGCTGACACACAGCGAGTGTGCCTCGCACTCGCTGAGACACAGGCGCCAACCCACAGTGCGGATGTGCTGACATGCACACTGCGTGCGCCAGGCCAGCTACAGGTCAGACCTACAGAGCCACTCTGGGACCGGCCTTAGCATCCTGTGTAGCACCCACCTACCTATCTCACCCATAGCTGCCACTCAGGAATTTCAAAAAAGGAGGAAATTCACGCAAAGGCGTACACGCGCTGTCCGAAGGCCGGAGTAAACACAGGGAGATCCAGAGGCAAATTAGAACATCTAGCCTATGTTTTTGGAAGGGAAAACTGTCATATATATTTGTTAACCATAGGCTACTGAATTAAAATGCATTTGAAAAAAAACAACAACAACAAAAACAAGGCATTAAGTTGACTAACAAGAATTTGACACAGTTTGGTGAAGAAAAATCCAGTGTTTGTTGCCAGCTGGTGTCTCATAAAAAGATTTCTTTCACTTTAAAATTGCACATCGATGTAGAGCAGTAGTATTGGATCAAGGAGGCAACACCTTTGCCACTGTACTGAGCGATTTCTTTATCGCGCAGAACGTATTCTGTATCAATTTCTCTCAAGTTACCGCAGTTTCCAATGACAACTCGGCGCGCAATCGTCCCGACGCTTGATCGACACTGTTGCTCCACAATAAACAATGTGAAACTAGCGCTAGGCACAGAAAAATGAAAGTAGAAAGCTACGGGCGGACATGCGCAAGCCGTGTTTTCGCATCTCTCCCGGTTCGATGTTTTCTGCATGTAAAAAAATAAGTATTGCAATTTGCGACCGAGAGCGGTCCAGCGGAGGAAGGAGGAAAGTAGCGGGAAAAGCTAGGTGAAGCGGAGTTTCCGCTATTTAGCGGGAAAGTGGCAGCTATGCAGACCAGACATCGGAAATACTTTATACAATGACAAAACACAACAGACAAAAACCTGTAAATTCTTTGACATATTGACAGACCCAAGGGCAAGAATTCAAATGGCCGCAGGATCGGAAAAGTAAAGTAAAGCTACTCATCATCATCATCATCGCCTCCTGGTAAAAGAGACCTGTTTTCGGCAACAGTCAAAAAGTAATTTCACGTCGGACTCATCGTAAAGGAATGTGCCTGAACAGCTGCCAGCGGTTCACCGGCACAGCAGTTCCGATCACGAGCCGATGGGAGTGGCTTGTCGGTAATAAAGAGTTAAAATGTTTTTAAAAAAGAACAAGAAAGGAAATAGGAGGTGGTGGTTCGTACAGATGATTGTCTTACACAAAAGACTGTCAGAGCACGTTTTACTGAAACAGGTCTGTACATTGCAAAATACCAGTTTCGAATAATGCTAATTATCTTCCAAGAAGCAACCACAATATTTTCTTAGACTTTAGGCATTTTTTCAGCAGTTTATGGCCATTTTGTCCCAGGCCCCTGTCATTTTGGTAAAAGAAAAAGAAAATAGGGCAAAAATGTTCTGATTACATGGGTCTGAAAGAATTGAAAAACTGTGCTTTTTAATGGTTTGAAATTTTAGTCAGTGTTTTACGGCACTTGCAACACATGTTATATTAGTGCCAAAGAAAAGAGGTCTTACAAGAGAGTAACAAACCCAATAAAGAAGGAAGAGAGATAAGGACAATACATGTTGGATAGGAAAGAAGGAGCAAACCACACCAGAGCACCCGCCAACCACCCACTGCTGTTTTCTTCCCACCAAGCTGGTCCCCCTCACCTGGGACGGTGGACTTGACCGTCGGGACTTTGCGCTGAGACAGGACGTCGCGCAGCCGCGAGATTTTCTCCGGGGTCATTCCTGCCGCCACAGCAGAGGTCAAGGTCTTCTCTGGCTTCCTGCTCTCGCTGCCCGGGGTCATGGGGGACATTAACTTGCTACAACAGAAGAAAGAAAAACCAGAAAACTTTTACACATTATTTTCTGGAATGTTCCTCAAAATGACCATTGCGGCAAAATAAAGTAAGAATTAAACCAACAAATTTTCATTTTTAGGTAATTTTTACGGCACTTGCAACACGATAAGGTCATATAAGTGTCAAAGGTTATTACGGGTGTTACAAAAGAGTAACACACCCAAAAAAGGAGAACAGATAAATTTGTTACATGTTCGATAGGAAAGAAGAAGCAAACCACATGAGAGCACCCGCATACCACCCATAATAATAATAATAATAATAATAACAATAATAATGATAATAATAATAATAACAATAGTAATTATGATAATTATAAATGTTATATATTATTATTATTATTATTATTAATTATAAAAATAATATAACAAATTAACACTGACAGCTGTGCTTATGTAGAAGTAAGAGCAGCACTTGCAGCACAATTAGGTCATATAAGTTAGCAAGATTAGAGGAGTTGATCTGGCCAGTAAGCCTCCCAGACAGGACAACTTTCCCCAGCCTCAATCAGGGACGCCCAATGTTACAACATCAGATGACGCGACAACCAGCGACATTTTTTTCTTCTTTTTAGTAGAGGTTTTACGGCGCTCGTAACTGTATAAGATCACATGAGCGCCAGAAGATTACAGATGTTACAAGAGAGTAACAAAGATAAAAAAGAAGAATGGGAGATAAAGACAATAGATGTTTGATAGGAAAGAATTGCAGCAAACCACACCAGAGCACCCGCCAACCACCCACCCAGCGACATTACATTAAGCAGGATTGGTTTCCGGGTAGAGCTTGTGAAAAGTCACAGTCACTGCGATGATAAGCTGGAAATAGCTAGCTGACAAACATAAAAACCTTTTTTTAAAAAAAATATAAAAAATAAAAAATTTAGCCCCTAGATGTGATGGAAGCTAAAATGTCCTCTTTAATTCCCTAGCCTTCTCGGATAAGGGCGAAAAATCTCTGGGGCCCTGTGAGCAAGTTGCGCTCATTAAAACTTCCTTAGCAGTCCTAAAAATCAATAAAAGTAGGCTTCAGCTGTCACCCAGGCAAAATTCAAAATGAGTTCCTACCAAACGGAAATACTCTAGTCAGTACAAAAACAAATAGAGTACCTTCAATATCAGAATGTGGCTTCCTGAAGGCAAGGTGTTGTACACAGTTGAAAAAAAAGTCACACAAATAAAAATCAGACGCACTGCAGGTTGAAGAACCAGCAGTCAACTCCCCCTGAGATCTTGCAGGGGAAGGCAAAGAGGAAGACTCCCAACTGTCGAATTGGTGACAAGTTAACAAGTGAGTCGCGGCCTCAGTGCTTTCTCGTCCTATCTCCATTTCTAATAACAGCGAAAACAGTTCATAACAAAGAGTGAGCCTCAGAAGAAGTCACATTTTCACTGTTTAACACTTTGCAGTCACACAGACAGCAGTACAAAATACCCCATCTGGTCACCCAGCCAGGAGAGTGACTTTAACAGACTTATCGGGCCTGGCACAGAACTGCGCTAGGTGACAAGATCGGATAATTTTCACCGGTGCATTATTGCCCCAAGTGACTGCAAAGTGTAAAAAAATAAATAATGGAGATACGACAAGAAAGCACTGAGGTTGCGAATCGTGGAAGCGGCAACAAGTTGGCAAGCCAGTCCTGGCAGCTGGTTACCTCTTGGAGCGTTCCTGGCCCCGTGTCTGCTTGCCGGGCGAGCTGGTGTAGAGCTTGACGTTACGCAGCTGTTCCTCCAACTTCTCCAGCTGCCGCCGCTGGCCCGCGATCAGCATGTTGTTGTTGCGCACCGACTTGTAGATGGTGTCGCCCGTCGGGGTGCGCAGCCTGGGGAACACCCGTGGTTTGTTTGTTTCAGCACAGAGAATATTTTGTTTATTTCAGTACACAGATGGTTTTGTTTATTTCAGTACAGAGAAAGTTTTGTTTAAATCAGCACAGAGAATATTTTGTTTATTTCAGTACACATATGGTTTTGTTTATTTCAGTACAGAGAAAGTTTTGTTTAAATCAGCACAGAGAATATTTTGTTTGTTTCAGTACACATATGGTTTTGTTTATTTCAGTACAGAGAAAGTTTTGTTTAATTCAGCACAGAGAATATTTTGTTTGTTTCAGCACAGAGAATATTTTGTTTGTTTCAGTACACAGATGGTTTTGTTTGTTTAAGCACAGAGAATATTTTGTTTGTTTCAGAACAGAGAATATTTTGTTTGTTTCAGTACACAGATGGTTTTGTTTGTTTAAGCACAGAGAATATTTTGTCTGTCTCAGCACAGAGAAAGTTTCGTTTGTTTCAGTATAGAGAAGGTTTTGTTTGTTGCATATTTTTAAAACAAATTTTAGCAAGTTTTACCGCACTTGCAACACAATAAGGTCATATAAGTGTCAAAGAATAGATTATGTGTTACAAGAGAGTAACATACACAAAAAAGAAGTAGGGGAGATCAGGATGACCGATGTTTGATAGGAAAGAAGGAGCAAACCACACCAGAGACCCCGCCAACCACCCACTGTTTGTTTCAGTACAGAGAAAGTTTTGTTTCTTTCAATACAGAGAAATTTTTGTTTGTTTCAGTACAGAGAAATTTTTGTTTGTCTCAGTATTTTTTTACAGGATACACACTAAACATCTCGTCGATTCCAACTTGTATAACGACTTTGCAACGATCAGCCTAAAATCAAGTCAAATCCAGACAACTTCAGAAATGCGGGTTTTCCTGATTAATTGATCCAGAAAATCAGCACCTCTGATGCCTCTCCACGAGGGGGGGGGGGGGTTATTTTAAAAATCAGCAGCCACACAGAACCCCTGACCTTTGCTGCGACTTCTTCTTGTCCAGGTGCTCCTGCCACTGGCGGTCCAGTATGCCATCCACCTCCACCACACACTGCTCTATGGTCTGGCACAGCTGCTGCAGGTTCTTCAGCTTCTCTGCGCTGGCCGGGTCCAGCGTACGGCCCTGTGGTACGTCAATTGCTTACATGATGGTATAGGTGGAGTTTTTTAGTATTAGTAAGAGTTTATTTTTAGTTTTAGAAAGAGTTTTTTAGTTAAGTTTTAGTGGTCATAAGGTCATATGAGCGCCAGAAGATCAGAGGTGTTACAAGAGAGTAACAAACATAAAAAAGAAGAAGGGAAGATAAGGACAATAGATGTTTGATAAGAAAGAAGGAACAAACCACACCAGAGCACCCGCCAACCACCCACAGTAAGAGTTTTACGGCACTTGCAACACAATAAGGTCATATAAGTGCCAAAGATTAGAGGTGCTACAAGAGAGTGACAAAAACAAAATAGAAAGAGGGGAGACAAAGACGATAGATGCTTGATAGGAAAGAAGAAGCAAACCACACCAGAGCACCCGCCAACCACCCACGGAGGGGAGATAGAGACGACAGATTTTTTATAGGAAAGAAGAAGCAAACCACACCAGAGCACCCGCCAACCATCCACTTTTATGGCACTTGCAACACAATAAGGTCATATAGGAGCCGAAGATTATGTGACCAGAGACAGGAACAATCCACAATCTTCCCCCTGCCAACAGAGCATATACAGCTCATCGTCAACTTGAAAACAACAAAAAATCAGAAGTTTCCCCAACACACGCTATGTAGGGACACGATATGAGACTGTGGATCATCACCTGTTCCACTGTACAGCCCTAAATGACATCAGAGCTAAGTTTCTCCCTCCTCTCAGACCTAACATTGACAACACACTCTCAGGAACACATACATGCCAACATTGCCTGTGCCAAAATCTGTTGTTGACCTAAAAAATCTGTAGTAGGCTATATTACCACTTGCCACATACCTAACTGAGGACCCTTATCAATATTTTGACCAACATCAAATATGCATGAATGTGTTTGCGACTTCAAATAAATGCAGAACATGACAAAGAACAAAAAAAAAAAGAAAAATGTGAAAACTTCCAGATGCATCTACCCTATAGTACTTGGTGCCATAACTGTCCTGAACAGAACCAAAGAAAAAAAAGAAGAAAAGATGAAGAAAAGGGGGGCCTTGGATGACATAGGCCTTGCCTTGGCCCTTTACCGTTGCAGAGTTTACAATGGTAGGAGTACAACGGATCCCGATTCCACACAAGGCCTGTACCAACGCGCGTTTTGCAGAGAGTTCTGGATCTAGTAGTAATAAAAATGTAGAATACTAATATTTGCTTCCAAGTTCAGTTTTTGTCCCCTGGTGTTGCCTTCAACCCCCCTACCCCAAGTGTATCTAAAAAAAAAAAAAATCATTAATGCCTCCCCCCCCCCCCCCATTCCAGAGTCCTATACTTCGCAGCGCTCAGATTTTGAATGAACTTTGGTGACCCTAACAAATGCCGGTACTCACAATGAGATGGAACGCGCAGGTTGACTGACCAGTCACGATGACGAGCCCAACAAGTCGCTTGTATAACTATAACATTCTTTTATGTTGCATTTAATGTTGCGTTATCAAACTACTACTGGCAAATTTCTGGGTGGTAACGAAAGCGAAAGTACATCTTGATTTTCCCGATCAAACCTCGGTATCACACAAACACTTCTGCTTGCCTATCAGCAAACACTATTTATTGGTTATTAAAGGGGGGGGGACCTTCGAGTTTAACCTTTTGCCACTCGGAGGTGCCGATGTGCGTCGTCATCGCTAACCCCCGTAGTCGCCGATGTGCGCCGACACGCCCACTCGATTCACTCGTTTGCACTACTTTCGTTTCTACGTTGTCTCGCTTCCTGCGAGGTCGCACGAGATTGCCGAGCTTATAGCGAGAATCTAGAGTGGTTGCCCTTTACTGTCGTGTTTATTTGGTGAAAATCGATCGAAGCACGCGAGAGCGGCGATTTTTTAAATTTCGTGCTTTTTAGAGACCTAAATCTAACTTCGTGGATGAAATTTTGCGTCGCTACAGGCACTGTATATGATGGAGACACTTATAATTGGGATTTAAATGCCGATATCGTCGACCAAGGGGCTAGATCTAGATCTAGTGCTAGTAGTACAAGTAGTCACTCGGACACTCAGTCGTGAAAGAGAGAGAGAGCGAGAACTACAGTAGGAGAGCAAACACGATGTTGCAGGTCTAGATCTAGGCTCTAGGGGGAGGGGAACAACTATGATAGTGATGTTGATGGTGAGATCGTTGCTGGAGGTGATGATTTAGAAGACTGATGAAGAAGATAGGCCTAGCACCCACAGCACTTTAGCTAGATCTAGATCTAGTACTACATACTTGCTGCACTACGACGTAAAAAAGGGAGGAGCAACACTGGGACTGTGGGCTCTGTCACAACAAATCCTTTAGAGCATGTTGTGATCAGGATACATGGTAAAAAGGGGTCATGCCACTACTGTGTAAAGACCAGAAACTTTACAAAGCTTGGCAGAGGGAGTGAGACAGTGACAGGATGCAATTTGGGCCAGGTTAGGCCTTGCAAAAGGCTGTCCTGGGTAAAACATCATGAACTTCTGCGGGCAAAAAAAGCGGGTTGTGTCTTTTGGGTTTGTTTTTTTTCACTTCAGAATTTTTTTTACCTAATACACAATGATTTTTCTTACAAAACCATACATTTTCTTGTAGTTTATTCATTTATCTGTGCTCTGACACATAAACTGTAATTTTAGACTCATCCTCTGATTTTTAATGATTTTAAAAAATAATATAGTCATGCAGTCTAAGCGGAGTTAGGTCCCTTTTGCCAGAATTTCAGCCTTGTTGGGCAGGGATAGCTGTGAGGGTGAAAGGGTTAATGTCCATTTCTGAAAGGACTGAGCCAAAAAGGAAATTGGTGTAAAGTGCCTTTCCCAAGGGCACTCCGTTGGACTGAGCTGAGGTTCGAACTACAAAATCTATCCGCCTGTTCGAGTGAAGAAGCGTACTCTCCGTCTGTGGAAAGCTGAATGTATATCCCAACCAGGACCGGCAGAAATTAACTTAAGGGCATTATGGGATTTGGTTTTCAAATATTCGATAACTTTTATGTACTTTCCCGCATCTCTCCCGTGGCAATTTACAGATTTCCTCAAATTCCTGGGTAATTCCCGGGGCCCGGCAGTCACCCTGCAGAATCACGAAGTCGGTGACTTCTCTCTCAAAATCGGTGTATAGGTAGTTTGACCAAAAAGTCGGTGATCTACCGATTTTTTCTGTAGGGTTGGCAGGTATGGGAATATTACAGCAACTGCAGCAAACCTGCACTTATCGCTACATGGCATTGGACAGAAGGGTGAGAGCTTAGCCGTTGCTGAATCAATAACAATATTAATAATAATAATAACAATAATAATAGCATTTGTATAGCGCAAATCCCTGCTCAACAGCAAGCTGTATGCGATTTACAATCTATACTAACAACATCAACATCATCTCATTTTCTCACCTGTAACAAGGAATGGTAGTGCGGGTCAGAATCGCGCTCTTGCTTCACCCTGCACTCCTCCGCCATGGCAAACAGGTTGAAGCAAAAGCTCTTCTGCTCCTGGCTCTCTCGCTGCTGCTCCTACGATGAAGGAGGGGGGGGGGGGGGGGGTGGGAGTCGTTTGGTGTGAAAAAAAAGTTGAGCATTTTGAAAGCTATGTACATACATTATGTACTATAGGCCACACAATTTAAAAGTTTTTGAAGTCAGATGATGATCATCATCATCCATGACGATGATGATGATAATAAATCATAATAATAATGATAATAATAATAATAATTGGCATTTGTAAGCAAATTGCCACTCAACAGCAGACTCTGTGCACTTCACATTCTATATCAGAACTGACAACGGTTCAGAACAACATCTTACTTTAGTAGTGTCTTTGATCTCTAGCAAGAAGTTGTTCATTTTCTCAGAGTCTTGTCGCAGCGTCTGCATTTCTTCTTTCGTGCCAACAGTCTTGACATCTCGACACGACCTCTGACGGAAATCCTGCAGCTCCTTATTAAAATCTTTCATCTGCGAAACAGTCCCGAGAAAAAACACCAAGTCAGGAATAAGAACAATAAATAAATGCGTCACGAAGCAGTTGAATCAGGCGCCCATCAATTTTGGGCATTTGGAGTTATTGGTATAATCTTACAGCTTATTTGTCTTGCTTTTGAGAAAAAAAATATACCCATTCATCTAGAATAAAAGTTAAGATATTTGCAATTGGAGGTGGGGGGTGGTTGCCTGGTGTCTTTGGTAAAACCAGCGAGAAAAAACAAAACACTGGTAATGGTACAGAACTATCAACTTGGCATCCTTCCTAACAACATAATCAAAATTTGATAAAATAAAAGCGTCAACTGACTACAGAAAATCCCGAACTGCTCAGACCACTCGAAAACAAGGACTCAAAATCAACATTGCCTAAAGCAGCTTATACTACCACTAGTTTGATTATATAAAGTGCAATATCATAATACGCAAGAAGAGATTAAAATATAAATAAATGTATAAGGAGAAGTATTCTACAAAATCCAGAAATTTCAGAAATCTGTAATTCCGGAAAATCGGAACCTCTGATTAAATTTTTTTTGAAAAACCACTGATGAAGATATCTCTTCAATGACACCACACAGAAGAGAGGCCCACCACTGTAACCTTCTCTTTTTTTTTTTTTTTTGGTAACTGTTTTACAGCACTTGCAACTGCATATGGTCATATGAGCACGCGGGACACATAACAAATTTTCAGTTGGTAGGAAATTTTGAATTTTGTGCGGGTGGCAGCCGAAGCCTACTCTTATCGATTTTAGAAAACCAAGGGATCTTTAACATGCGCAACTTGCAACACGCGACCTCTAAAATTTTTCACCCTTGTCCGAGAAGGCTAGGTGCAGATCTTTCCTACCAGAAGATCAGAGGTGTGGCTGAAAGACAGCAGTAAGGAGCCAGGGAGTAGTAGTAGAAAGGCTGCAGAAAGAGTCAGAAGCCCAGAGGAGGGTGCAAAGGAGGTGAGAGGGGGTGGGGGCAGAAAGTGGAGACGAAAGCACACAACAAAACATTGCTAGAGAGCAGCAAAGGAAATGAAATTAGACAATTTTAGAGAAGAAAAAGCATTTTTCCGTCGCTACCCGGATTCGAACATGGGACCTTGAAATGAGAGGTGAACACCCTAACCTCTAGCCACGAGAGCCCCCTCTTACCTCCTCTAGAATGTTCTGGGTGAAGGCGTCGTCCACTGTGGCTTCGATCGACCTCTGAGAGCCCACGCCACCTCCTGAAGGCTGTGCGGGGACTGGAACATCGGGAACAGAAAAGTTACTTTATACTTTATACGGGGTGCCCACTATGGCAGATCGCCTAAAAAACAAACGTGTTTGTTTTCAGTTTCAGGCGCTCGAGTTGGGCGATCGGCCCGATCCAACCGTAATGGGCACCCCGTATTAGTTATATGCCTAAGGTTATATGAGCGCAAAGGGGTGGATGTCAACAGAGAAGTCCAAACAGGGAATCTGCTTCGACTATCAAGGCACCCTGGACATAGCGGGTCACAAGAGTGTGACAAAACATTCAAAAGAAGAAGAGGAAAATGACGATAGTAAGGATTAGAAAAGAAAAAGTAGCAGTTCCCTGTTTCAGTTCAGGAAGAAAAGTACATGATGAGTGTCGAGTGTGAGTGAAGAGAAGCACATCCACACAGTAGTGGTCATTTTGTGCTGGGAAAAGTAAGACAGACAGATAGAAACAACAAAGGGAGAGTAGAGAAGTAGGACCTAGCAGTGGCACCCTCCAGGTGTCTGTGTACATGATCAAATGATGAGAATAGTTGTGTGTTTACCATGACTACACATAGGAAAGGAATGACATAGCTGCCAACTTTTCAAAACAAAATAACAACTAAAAAAAAACCCACTCTACCTATGCAACAGATTATTCTGACAGGCAGCAACATTAAGATACTGATCAGTCCATGTTTTCTCAAACCAACTCATTTTGTTAAAATCTTTACTTTCACATGAGGGGAATCAGCCACATCACAGCTTCTGTCAGACAGTGTGACATAAACTTTACTTTTTTCTGATCCAGCGGCCATAATTGGTCGCTTTTAAGGACAAGCGGGCTAACCCGGATTTCGGGGGTTTCCAGAAATCTTGACCTACACCAAAAGTGGGCATTGCCCTACCTATAGGAGAAGTTTGGTTTCATTGGTGTGAGCATTTGTTTAGTTATAAGAGAAAACTCTCCTTGTTTTTTTAATGAAACTGAACAAGGGGCAAAGACTGAACCTTTGATTTTTTTTAAACAGCACTTTGCAGGACAGCCCACTTGTCCTTAAACAGCAACCAATTATGAATTTGAGCTGTTTGGCTCACCTATCAGAAAATGTTTTCATAACCCCCAAAACATCACTTAGCCTGATCAAAATTAGACAATCAACTAGAGAAAGAAGGGGTACCTGCTCTAGCAGCACTCAGTGCGGCCGGGCTGGGCTGGGACACAAAACCAGGTCTTGGAGGGGTGGCGGTGGCTGGCCCAGGCTGAGCTGTGGGGGCTGGGGATGAACAGTTTTAGTTTAGTTTTAGTAAAGGTTTTACGATGCTAGCAACTGTACATGGTCATATGAGAAATAGGGGTGGGAGTCAACAGAGAAGTCCACATGGGGAATCAGGCTTACTCCTCTCACCTCTCTAGCCTCAACAGCACAAAGTCTGCTTCCACTATCAAGGCATCCCGGAAATACCAGTTCACAAGAAGTGACAAACATACAAAAGAAGTAGAGGAAAATGAGGCTATTAACCCTCATCCTGCGGGAGCCGGGTTTATGTAGCCCGATAAGCCTATTTCGGCACCTCGCCTGCGTTCTGGTCCCGAGTCAGTGTAGCTCCTGGCTCAGCGCACGCGCAGCGCGCCACGTGCATCCTCTTACGTGTCATTCAGGTCCCGAGTCGGATCCCCATTCACGCAGGTCAAGTGTGTGTGCGTCAGTCTGCTTGAGTTTGTGTGCGTTTGTGGCCTTCTTCTAGAACCACCTGCGTTGGTTCGTAATCGAGGCATACGTCTCATTCAAAACATGCCAAGTTGATAGCTCTAGATGTTCGTCCAATGAAATTATAGAAGAAATTGACCCACTTAGACATGAGGAGCTCGAAAGGATAATCAGGAAACAACACTTCCATTTTTCTATACAAAATATTTAAAATGAGCTTGATTTTGTATGAAATTATACTACCTGATAAAAATTAATCTTGTTTGATAGTTTTGAATACCCTTGTGCAGGTACAAAGAACAATTTGAGTGTAAAACATTCGGAAATTGACCTAAATTATCCCCTTTCGAACCTCAGGTCATTCATAACAACAAGAGCGCCCAGAAAGGTTTTTCAAATGGGCGTAACTACTCGTAATGTCTTATCAGCTTCTGAGAGGGGGTTATTCATGTGTTTGTAACACTTTATAAATAGAAAGCTATGAAGTATAGAGCGTTATTTTCATCATCAGTTAACACATTCCCGTGGTATTCATGGCGAAAACACACGTTTCCCGGCGCGTGCGCTCTACACCAACAGTACACACTGAGTGACCCCGGTGGCCTGCCCGGCACGTCCGACGTAATCGGTTGCTGATAAGATACGCATCTGGGCACAGACGCAGGATAAGAGTTAAGGATGAGGAAAGAAAAAGCAGCACTTTCCCCTATGTTGTTCCGGCACAGTATGAGCATAACATTGATTAATCAGCTTATTTACAATTCTACTGTGCATAAGAACATGTTAATATCCACCCTTTTGGAAAGATTTAAAAATAACTTATGACAGTAGCATTGCCCTGGGGGGGGGGGCTTAGCAACGTGTGACCCTGACCCTGACCTTGAGGCGCGGGCTGGAAGCTGAAGGCTGATGGCGCGTCCTGCTGCTGCGGGGGGAAGGAGCCCATGGCGGGCGGACCTTTACGCTGCTGGCTGGCTGCGTCAGGGACTTGCTGCGGCTGGGATGGCTTGGCTGATGGAAGGGAACCAGAATCATCAACGTAGTTAAGTTTTTAGTTTTCGCAGGAGTTTGTTTGAATCTAGTATTAAGCGTTTTACGGCACTTGCAACACAATAAGGTCATATAAGTGACAAAGATTCAAGATGTTACAAGATAATAACAAGCACAAAAAAGAAGGGGGGGGGGGGGAGAGATAAGGAATTAAATGTTGACAAAAAAAAGAAGCACACCACACGGGAGCATTCGCCAAAAACCCACATTAGTAAGAGTTAGTCTAAAACCACCACTTTTCTCCTCGCAGTGGGTGGTCACCTTGGACAAGTACAACCGAATGAAAACTATTGTGGATGAGCAAGTTCACGCCCAGAAATTAAGACACATTATTCTTTATCTTTTTAGTTTTAGTAAAGGCTCTACGGCACTCGCAACTGCATAAGGCCATATGAGCGCCAAGGGGTAGATATCAACAGAGAAGTCCTTACAGGGAATGCGGCTTACTCTGCTCACCTCTCTAGCTTCAACAGCACAAAGTCTGCTTCAACTATCAAGGCACCCCGGAAATAGCGGGTCACAAGAGTGTGACAAACATACAAAAGAAGTAGAGGGATAAATGACGATAGTAAGGATTAGAAAAGAAAAAGCAACAGTTGCTTGTTGCACTTCAGGCACAGTTATGAGCATGACATTGATGAATCAGCCCATTTACAATTCTATAGTGCATAAGAACGGGGTTAAAGTCCCCCATTCGGGAATGGCCCAAAGACACTTCAGTCAGTAGCACCGCCCCGGGGGGGTTATTCTTTATCGATAGCTTTAGATCTCATTTAAAAGTGTATAATCATGAATGGGTTAGTCAAGGTTAACTCAAAAGTCACATGGCGTGAAATCACAAAATAGCATTTTCCCCTGCATAATAATAATAAAAATTAATAATACTACTACTAAAAATAATAATAATTTCATTCATATAGCGCATATCCACGCTCCACAGCATGCTCTATGCGCTTTACAACTTTTATTACCCCAGCATACCCCAGAGCACCCCAACACATTCTCAGCTTCGCGGGAAGCACACAGCCTCCATCACACACTTGTAGGCACACACTCATTACAGCAAATCGGCCAAAGGACACCAGTACAGGTAGTGCTACTAGGTGTTTTTACGCCTCAATTAACACAACTTAGATAATTTCAGAGGCAGGCTTCCACCGTAACTGTCAGGGCCAGCCCGGGCAGAGACTGAGAGCGATACAATGCCCCAGCAGGAAGGCCAAAGTACTCAATAAAAAATTTCTCCCCACTCGAGAACTAAACCCTGGCCTCCTGCGTGCTACAGTAGAGAGCCTAACAACTACACCACAGACGCCGGTCAAAGAACATCATGAACATTGGAGATTTAAAACGTTGGAGAGACAAAATTCTCAGGTTACCTTCTTGCTTCGGAGGAGTCCCTAACATGGATGCCAAGGCCGGACTCCCAGAAGAGGCGGCCTGACCTTGGGGGAGACTCGGCTTAGGCAGAGAGCTGCCGAACCTGACCGCAGTCTGGGCCTGAAGGGAACAGAGGACATCATAATAACTAATAATAATAATAATATTGATAGTGCATAGGGCCTGTGGGGAACAGAGGAAATCATAATAAGTAATAATATTAATATTGCATTCATATGTGATGCATTGTGGTGAAATCAGGCGCTCATCAAAATAATGAAATCAAAGAAATTGGCATTTTTCTGACCGTTCGGCAGTTTTTAAAATAATTTTCTTTTTTTGGCTCAACACCTTTTAAATCCATTAAAAAACACATTTATGTGTGGATTTTACTGAAAAACATTGATTAAAGGCACAAAAAATGTCCATTTTCAGTTTCCAAGGACTCTCAGGCTATGGAAATTACCAAACTTTAGCGGCCATTTTCTCGCTAATTTCCCCTCTGAAACCAGGCCACCCTCACTTCCTTCAATTGCAAATATTTTGACTTCTATTCACTATAGATGGATATTTTTTTTCACCAATAGCAAGGCAAATGAAAAAGCCTTAAGATGATACCAATAACCCCATATGCCCCAAAACTGACGAGCGCCTGATTCCACCACGTCAAGACACATATAGTGCATAGGGCCAGAGGGGAACAGAGGAAATCATAATAAGTATTAATAATAATGATATTGCATTCATATAGAGGACTTCCACGCTCTACAGCATTCTCAGTGCCCGTTACAACTATTATAATCCCAGCAGACCATTATGCATGACACTGAAACATTCTCAGCTTCCCGGGGGGGGGGGGGGGGGGGAGTGGGTGAACCAAAGAGAGAAAAATAATCTGACGTAGGTGGGGATCAAAGTACGTAATAGATTTCCACATCCCTCCAATTTCAATTTAGAATGATTTATGGGGGGTTGGGGTGAATTTTAAATTGCGTGGTTTAAAAAACAACTAACAACCCCCCCCCCCCCCAAATGCACTAAGAAATCTACGGCCACTGAGGCCTGACCTGAGTCGGGGCGACGCCGCCTGCCGCTGTGATCCCAGTGGTGCTGGACGCTGGGACAAAGGAAAACGCTGAACTTTGAACTGTGCCTGGAAAGACAAAGATACAGATAAGAATAACAATAATGATAATAATACTAATAGTGATAACGGTTCATCTGTCAGTACCTGACGATGGCCAATGCATCTGCAATAGAGAATTTTTCTTCAGCACAATAGAAGAAATACAGGTTGAAATGACTTGTCGTTACTTTTTAAAATGTATTTTAGACGTAGTAAGAAGTTTCAAGACTCTAGCAACACAACAGGTCTTTTTTAGTTTTAGTAGAGTAGAGGTTTCACAGCGCTCGCAACTGCATAAGGTCATATGAGCGCCAGAAGATTAGAGGTGTTACAAGAGAGTAACAAACATAAAAAAGAAGAAGGGGAGACAAGGATGATAAGATGTTCGATAGGAAAGAAGGAGCAAACCACACCAAAAGCACCCGCCAACCACCCACACAATTAGGTCTATACGTGTCGAAGATAACAGATGTTATTTTTAGTTGTTAGACACTTTTAAAAAATTTGAAAACAGGAACATTTTCAAAACGTGTGGAAATGACTCATAATGGTAGCTTATAACAACAGGCATTTAACAAGTTTTTGGTCGTGAGATATTTTTTAAAATTTGAAGACAGGAACATTTTTTAAACACTGAAAATGATACACACCAGCAGCTTAGTACAACGGACACTTCAATAAATCGCGACCCCCATGCTTTTTTGTCGTATCTCCATTTTTAATAACAGTGAAAACAGTTCATAACAATGAGTGAGCTTAAGAAGATGTCACATTTTCATTGTTTAAACAAATGGAGATACGACAAGAAAGCAGACAAAAAAAGCACTGAGGTCGCGAAATTTTGGTTCTTAGACACTTTTTACAATTTGAAGACAGAAACAATGTGCCAGGATGTGGGCAATGAAGATGTAACTTATCTCATCTTAATTCTAAAAACAAGTGAAACTGCCACCTACTGGTAGCTGGAGACCCGAACGAGAAGGGGAAATTGGAGGCCTTGGGCTGGCCAAGAGTTGTCTGAGAGCCTGCCTGGCCACCGCTGGACGAGGACGGCGCCGAGGATGATGAGGCCAGGCTCGGGAACAGCAGCGGGGGTTTCTGGTTGCCGGGCGTGGTGGTAGCGGCGGCGGGGGCGAGGGCCGGGGCGGGGGAAGCTGTGGTTGTCTTGGCCCCCAGTCCTGCAAACTGGAAAGACGGTCCCAACGCACTGGTGCCCAGAGGGGTCGAGGCTGCTCTTCCAGATGACGGTACCTGAAAAGAGGAAAAACGACCATATCAGTTTGTTAATGGGTTTTTATACATTTAGTAAGAGTTTCACAGCACTTTCAACACAATTAAGCATGGGTCTCAACTCAGAATTTTTAAAAAGAAGGAACTTTCCGCGTAATTGCGACAGAAGACCATTTTCGCGAGACACACATTACGATTATACTGTTTAACCCAAGAATGCTGAAATAAAAACCATCAATTTATCAAAGCAAGGTTATTTCATACCAATTTGATGGTTTATGAGATAATTTCAAGTAAAAGAGCCACATACCAAGTATTCAAAATCTTGATTATCTACAGAAAGTGGTGGTTTAGCGGAGGAAATTGCGGTAGCGGAAATCCGCTTAATAGCGGAATATTGAGACCCATAAGTCATGTAAACTTGCTGGGAGGTCCTTTTCTCTTACAACTCCACAAATTTAGAACTCTCGCCCACTATATTTGAGGGCAACAAAGTCGGGAGGCAAAATCTAGAATTCATTTTAAAAAAATACACCATATGAAAAGCCATCTTGATAGTTAGTCCTTCTTATTCATAGTGCTCTTATGTTCATCATGTGACGTACATATCGTTATCCATTGTGCTGTGACAGTCTGAATGTTTGCTTATGTGTCAGCATTAGTCGAAAAGAGATAGACCTGCATGTGAGCCTCAACCAGATTGTCTGAAAATTTTGCGCAACCCCCCCCCCCCAAAAAAAAAAAGCCTTTGTGGGTGTCATAAGGAAGGACATCCGAGTAACGAGCGACCACCCCAACAAACACAATAAAGAAGAGACCTAACCCTACCCCGAAAAAGAACCTGCAACGGGCCTCATGTAAAAAGGCCAAAACAAGTCCTAATTGACAAAAAAAATTTTAATTAAAAAACCACACTCCAAAACAAACAAGGAGCATATAGATCTAGATTCTAGATATAGATCTATATGGCTTACATCTACATTGCTATAGGGTTTGATACAATAACACAATAGAATTGGAATATGAATCCTCCATATAGATCTAATCTAGTAATCTAAATAAATCTAGATCTAGATCTAGATCTTGTAGAACAAGTGAATAGGAATAGGCCTTGAACTAGAAATCCGCATCCGATTCCGAACAGAGGGACTCAGCTGAGTCTAGATTCTAGATCTAGAGATCTAGATCTAAATAAATAAATAATTCACGCATTTCTACTTAGGTTCCTACAATTATGTCGGAAACGCTGACGTCGGCAATCGGCGATGCGCGCGCCGGCGGTCGGCACGAAAACGAAAGTGCCGACGAAGCCGACGGGAAAAAAAGGGGTCGCTGGCAATCAGCCAGGCCTCGCACTACGCACATTGACTGATACAGGCGGGCCTAGCGATAGCATCGGCCAGTTCATGATTGTCGGATTTCAGACGATTGTCGGCAAACATGCAGGTCTAAAGAGAGCATGCATGCTGCGTGTTCATTCACTCGTATTTTGTGTTCTAATGAAGGTATTGTAAAGCGTTAAGAGCTGTATTGTACGGAAGTGGGTACTATTGAAATCTATCTGCATTATCTTTTATGTTACAGTGGTGCCGCCCAACAGCAACCAGCCTTGGGAAGCAAGCTTTTGTTGCTGTTAGGCAGAGGTTGCTGCTAACAGAATTTTCAAAGGGGGTTGGGGGAGCTCTTAGTGACATGGTGTGAACTGAACTCCTGTACTCAGCTTAGTGTATTTCCCCAGAAAAAAAATTTGTCCCACAATTTATAGCAACAAAGGTTGTTGTTTTAGGAAAAGGTCGCCGTTAAAGGGAGTTATTATACAGAAAAAATTCCGTAACACTAGATGCGGTTGCTGTTAAGCACAGAGGTTGCTTTTATCTGGGTTACTGTTAAGTGGGCACCAGTGCACTACCTGTTGTGGCGAAGGCGCCGGCTGAGCAGGGGGGGTGGGGACTGAGGCCGGGGAGGCTGTGTTGGTGGCTTGAGTCATGGCAGGAGATCCAAACACGGACCCACTGCTGCCCGCCTGCGGAGACTGGAAGATCCCGGGTCGTGCTTGCTGCGACAAGACGGGGGGAGCTGTGTGCGGGAGAAATCAGGCAACAACTTCTGCTTTATATCCGTTTGTCTTAAACTGACGTAAAATGGTGAGACTAGGACAACAATTGACTAAGGCTGTGTAATCTTCTTCCCCTCCCTGATACATTTCACACTACAGTTGACGAACCTGCTCTGCCATTTGTCCAGACAACCACCTGTACACACCTGCTCTACCTGTCACCAATCCAAGACAATCACTTGTACACACCTGCTCTAACTGCCATCTGTGCAGACAATCACCTGTACACACCTGCTCTAACTGCCATCTGTTCACACAATCACCTGTACACACACACCTGCTCTAACTGCCATCTGTTCACACAATCACCTGTACACACCTGCTCTAACTGCCATCTGTCTACACAATCACTAACTAAAAATGTAATGCTAAACACGATACCTCAAGTAGTTTTTGAGATATTGCGTGTTTTATGAGGTAGGGTATAAAAAATAGGATATCATGAAAACAAGTTTTAAAATTTTACGAATACAGTCCACTGTGAAGACACTGTAATTAAAAGAATTCCTAATAAATTATACTAAGATGTCTAATAAATGAAAAATCCTTTTAGCATATGTTTCAGAACTGGTGGAAGTATTGTTTTCTGATGGAAACACCTTTTGGTCAGAATATGGAACTTTTAAACTTTATCAGCCTTGGGCAAGAAATAATATGGGCCGACTTTTCGTCCATTTCTTCAGGTGCACATACAATTTAATATATCACAAAAAACTACACAATATGGTCCGGTCTATCCTATTTTCCTTAAAGAACGCATTGACTTGTAGACATAAAAAAAAACACACAAAAACGCGACTCACCACCCTTTCGAATTTCCAACACGTTCCCCACAGGTAGTACGTCAGCAGTTATCGGCGGGGCGTCCTTGTGCGCGTAGATCAGGTGGTAGGCCATGAGGATGCCGTCGGTGGAGAGGAGGTACATCACCGGGCACGCTGGGAACGTCTTGCTCTCGCCTGTGGAAGGTCAAATATGTGTAGGGGTTTAACATCCTGATCAACACTACGCTACCTTAGAATTACAAAGTTCTATCTGACAGTTTTGAGTTTTGAAGAGTATGATGTCAGAAATCAAATTATCTGCTCTATCAAAATCGTAAGATTGTTCGTAGACGTTATCAAGATACTCAAAGATTTGCATTCGAAAAAGCTTGACATATTAAACTCAAAAACTTAACGTCAAATTTCTCAAAACTAGGTACATAGCAGACAGAAATTTGTAATTCCAGGGTTGCAACAATTGGGTTACTTAAGAGACGGGACCTCCAAATTTTAAAGTTTTCGTAAGAGTTTTATGACACTTATAACAATAAGGTCATATAAGTGCCGAAGATTAGGTGTGTTACAAGGGAGTAACAAACACAAAAAAAGTAGGAGGAGAGATAAAGACGATAGATGTTTTGTTGGACAGAAGGAGCAAACTACGCCAGAGCACCCTCCAACCATCCATCCTCCAAATTTATTGATCGTCTCTGATAGGATTAAACCAAATGAGTTGAGTCTTGAAAACTCCACAAAATGACCCGAGTTCAAGAACGTCCTGTCTGGGATTCTAAACAGCCATCCACTTTGTAGTCCACAATGATACCAGCAGAGCTTTATAGTTGTAGTAGGAGTTTTACGGCACTTGCAACACAATAAGGTCATATAAGTGCCGAAGATTAGAGGTACTACAAGAGAGTAACGAACACAAAAAAGGGGAGAGATCAGTACGATAGATGCTTGCTAGAAAAGAAGGAGCAAACCACACCAGAGCACCCGCTGACCACCCACTCCAACAGAGCTAATGGAGCGCCTCCCCTGTTAGGTTTAGTTTTAGTTTCAGTAGTGAAACTCGCACCACAAATAAGACGTGACACCATAAGAGTAAAGAAATACAAGAAACTCTCCCACGACAACCTGCCAACAAAGCTTTGTACCATCAGGCAGGCTGCCATTTCTAAAACCAATGAACGGGTAACATTCATTTTCAAAACCAGAACAATGGTATCAGAATATCATTTTTAAGACTAGATACCAGTGGGTAATTTTTAAGACCAATATAAAACACTCTATGGAACATTACAGCTTTTTTTTTTTCAGTATAAGTTTTACAGAACCTGAACACAATATGGTCATATAAGTGCCAAAGAGTAGAGGTGTTACAAGAGTGAGTAACAAACACAAAAAAGAAGGATGAGAGATCAGAGTGATAGATGTTTGATAGGAAAAAAGGAGCAAACCACGCCAGAGCACCGACCAACCACCCACAACATTAGACAAGACACCAGCAGGTAATTTTTAGGACCAATATAAAACACTCTATGGAACATTACAGAAAGTAAAGAAAACTTGCGCTTAACACTACATGGCACTGGACAGAAGGGTAAGGGTTGCTGGATCGATAACAACAATTAACGACCAATATATAACCTGTACCACACACTTTTCAAAAGCAACAAAACAGCAAAATGGGCAGGGCTATAACAGAGCACAAACTACAACATAACCAATCATCTGCCAGCTGAGGGAATAACAAACTACAACATAACCAATCATCTGCCAGCTGTTCACATGTACCATGCCCAAAATTTTGATTAAAAAAAAAAATTGCTGTTTCTTTATCTGTGGTATCAGTCGCATGTACTCCAGAAATATTTGATTCAGATTCAAATTCTAAATCTTGAAAAAAGTCAGATTTGAGACATTTAGGTACTTTTGCAAAAATAAGTTGTGTACATTTTTTTCTCTTTTTTGTTTTTAGCTTTAGTAGAGGTTTTACGGCGCTTGCAACTGCATAAGGTCATATGAGCGCCAGAAGATTAGAGGTGTTACAAGAGAGTAACAAACATAAAAAAGAAGTAGGGGAGATAAGGACGATAGATGTTTCATAGGAAAGAA